TAAGCACACTTCAGGTGTGATGTCAGTTTGTTTTATCCAGGGGAGAGCCAGGATTCTTGGAGCCTGATCTCAGGCAAATCTCTTAGCCTCAGTTTCCTCATCTGTACAATGGGTAATTGCACGTGCAACAACACCCCCAGTAAAAGCATCCTTAGAGATTGAAACTGGGAACCTTGGGAGCTGGAAAACATAGGAGTCCACTGCCTGAGCTAATGGATCAGGCTTGTTAGAGCACGGGCAGTAGGCAACTCATAAACTTTTCTGTGTAGTCTGGCCAACAGAGGGGGGCAAAGAGCTGCATTGTGTTAGTGTGGCTTACCGGGGAATTCTGAGTCTTGGTTAATGTTTTGAGGACACTGGGAAACCCTCAGACCAAAGGTGTCATAGGAGCACCACGTATAAATGCCCATTATTTGACCCCCCCCCCATGCACACTCTGCCACAGTGTGTGCGCAGAAGTGTGCGAGGCAACTATAAGGTATTGACACCGGGCCTCAGGGTGGGCCCAAAGCTCAGATCCAAATACCCCTGGAAACTGGGAACGTTTGGAGGCAGATCAATTCACTGCAGCAGGGTGGCAGAGAAGTCCATGGTAGGCAGAGCTGGCCAGACAACAAAATTTCCCTCTTGTGAAAAATCGTTGAGGGGGAGGGAATTGACCCAAATTGGGACAAGAAGTCAAAAAAATGATTTTTTTGGTGGAAGGAAAATTATCAAAAAAATTCTATTTCAGGGGAACCAAAATGGATTTTTTTGGCTTGGGGGGTTAAGAACCTGGGTTCCACGCGTCACCCAGGTGAAAGTAACAGCTCAAGCCTGTAGGGACTCCCTTAAAATGTTATTAAGATGATGTTAAAAAAAAAAAAGGGACCGGTACAGTTTAAGCATAGAAGTTTCTGGTTATCAGGGAATAACATACAGATTATCCAGGGTGCAAAGTTTGGTTTAAGATCGGGTGGCATAAGGAATCCATAATCTGCAATATCCCTGATTGGGGGGAAAAGGTTGATGTGTCAAAGTACAGACATTGAGATATGAGGGTATGAGAGGGGAGAGGAATAGCTCAGTGGTTTGAGCATTGGTCTGCTAAACCCAGGGTTGTGAGTTCAATCCTTGAGGGGGCCACTTAGGGATCTGGGGCAAAAATCAGTACTTGGTCCTGCTGCTGGGGGCTGGACTCGATGACCTTTCAAGGTCCCTTCCAGCTCTAGGAGATAGGTATATCTCCATATATTAAAGTGGCTATGTTCGGGTGTGGAGTATAATGAGTGGATACGATGATGAGGATGGATTGACCTTCATTTGGTGAGATTTAATGTTCAGGGAGTTTATGGTTCCAGTTCATATGATCCAATGGAGAAAGTCCCTTGGTCCCTTTCTCATAGTCAAAGAACGATGTCACTCTGGCTCACACCTCCTTGTGCTGTCGGGGGTGGGGGGCAGGCAAGTAAAGTTTGCAGGGTTTGGAGCTCTCTAAAGGTGCCAGAGATTTTCAGAGATGAAACTGGCTGAGAGATTTTTGCAAAGATGATCTGGAGTGAGGGCTTTAAGGCTAAGCAAAATGAGACAGCAAACCTCTGGCTAAAGCAGACTAAATAGAGACAGGCAGTAAGCAGGCTGTCCACACAGATCTGCTGATGCCCCTGAATCCTGACCTACAACACCCCCTACTTCCCAGTCCTGACTCCCCACCCTGCCTGCCAATGCACCTCAACCCTGATCTACAGCCCCCGCTATTCTCTCGTGAGCAGAGAGTGCATTGCCCTCCCATTCTTGTTGCTTTGCGCCTACTCCCAGGGGGCTAGACTTTCCAAACAGCTCAGCTCCTGTTTTAGGCACCCAAGTACCTGTTTTCAGAGCCGCTCGGCAAGCGGGGTGCAGGTTGGGGGCTCTTCTGAAAACCTGGCCCCGATTTTAGGTGCTGGCCCTTGAGCTCTTTGGAAATCTGGCCTGTTCCTCACAATGACCCCATGTGCAAAATAGGTGCAAGATGCTATGCCTCTGATCTGATTTTACACCTCTCTGCACGGGGTGTAACTGACAACACAGGGCAAGGGAAAACTGGTTGACGCTGATGGACTCATCTCGCTGATGAAGTCAGGACTCACTTCCCGTCCCCTTATCTCTCTGGTCCTGAGCTCCGGAGGTGACATCTATCAGGTCTGTGGCTCCCCCTCGCCCCTCCTGCCGCTGAGTCCCCCTGGGGCGTTTGTTTGATTAACTCACAGTCACATGCCCCCATGGCCAGTTCGATCGATCTCTCTTACCAATAAACCTTCATCCTTGCTCTCAGCCGAGCGTCACATTTATTTTCCTTTTCTGTTGGCTGCTGAGATGAGTAAGGGGCACTTTGATTTTTCTACTTCACCTTCTCAGGGCCTCCTGGGCTGGGATAAGGCCATGTCACTGGATCAATTTAATCCCAGAGTAGACAAATGTCAGGATCTGGCTTGGAGGAGCTGCTGGAATCAATAGTGCCCTGGCCGGAACTTCAGTCAGAAGTTTCTATCTCACTCCCCTCTGTTAATGCACCGTATCTGGCCAACGCCCCTTCCTGCAGCGCGAGGGATGTGGCCTACTGCTTCCTGTTACACCTGCACACACTTTATCCCTCTGAACTGTACCGAAGATGTTCAGCGTAGACAGGTGCATTGGAAGGAAAAGTTTAAACCATTTGAGCATGTTGTTGGGAAAAGACCTTGCTCTTCACAAGCACCTCCTATCCCAGATCTCTCCGAGCTTTGCAGCCTGTGTGTGTGTTAAGAAATCAAGAGGTGATGTATTTAGAAAAGATACACAATAAATAATCCTCTAAAGAACACATAATTAACCTATGGAACTCCCTGCTGCTGGACACAATTGAGGCAAATGTCTCAATGTAAGGCAGAAGAGGATCACACTATTCTAAGAGTAGCAATGGTAACAAGTATAAGCATCATCAACCCTAGGGCTTCAGGCCCTAATGCTGATTGTTGTCCGGTCAGGAAGAAACATCCACCTCCCTATGGTATAGAGCTGGGCAATTGTCCTCATGCACTACAGGACTGGTTTGCCTTCTGCTCAAATCCTGCTGGAGAGTTTAAGAGGCAGAGTTCTAGGAAATCCCAGACACTTCTCTTCTGTCCACGCAATTAAAAAAAGCTCTTAAACAAAGCTCGGTTGTGTTCCTAATATGCCCATGGACTGATTTACATGACTAGTTGCACAAGACTCCGTGATGAGAGGTGACCGAATATAACCCCAGCTGCAAACTAGAACAGTGAGGTGATCGCCAGAGCCCTGCGCGGATACGAAATGTGTATGCGCATCCGATCCGGGATCCGCAAACATGGTGCACGGCTATAAAGCGGATATCCGCAGATTTGCAGGCCTTTAGTGATCACTGCCAGCTTCTCTCCTGAAGGAAGGCCTTCCTATGCTGCTAGCTTCTCCACTCATGCCAATGGAGAGAGCCTGGTGTCGCCTGTTACCGTGGCCTCTGCATTGTAGCTTGGTGGGTTACTAACTGTGAATGGGCTGAACCATCTTGTGCTGTGAGCCCATCAAGCACCTAGAGGTATGGGGAAGGGAGATCGTCCAGTGGTTACGGCACTAGCTTAGGATCTGGAGCACCTGGGTTTAAGTCCTTGTTGTACTATAGATATCTGTGACCTGGGCCTCAGTTTCTCCTCTGTAAAATGGGGATAATGACTCTTCCCTGCCTCACAGGGCTGCCATTTCGGATTGTGAGGCTGCCTGATGTTCTCAAGATAGGGGCCATAAGTCCCTGTGGTAGATGCTTCGAGAAGTGCTGCTAGTGCATCAGTAGGCAGCATGCTTCCTCCTAGAGTGAACAGAGCCTTTTGGTGCTAGGGGGAGCCGGGCTGATTGCTGGTGATTGGGTGGGATGTTCAGTATCACTCCCAGCTGGCCTCATTTTGTACCACGTGTTTTACTCTTGACCCCAGCAGGAGTAGCAATTGGCCAGTCCTGAGCGCTTTTGAAATTCCCACCCTTGAGTCGTGGGTGTTACGTCTACACTGCAGCTAGGAGTGAGCCTCCCAACCCGGGTAGATAGACTCACGCTAGTCGGGCTTCAGCTTGCACGCCCTTAGGAAGTGTGGAGGGGTTAGGCCCAGTGCCCTGGCCGCATGACAACGTGCATAACAGTTACTTTCTGTCTCCCTGCATCCCTAAAGTTTCAGGTGACTGTAATGGTCACCAGGAGAGCTGGCTGAAAAAAATTTCAGCTGGACAGAAAAATGCAGTTTCATCAGAATCAAAACATTTCTCAGGGATGTGTCGATTTCAGCGTCAACGGGAGACAGTAATAAAGAGCCGTTTTGGGCTTTCTCATTTCATTTTGATAATGCCAAAACGTTTTCTTTTGATGAGGTCAAAATGTTCCGGCTCCACTTTCTTGTTTCATTTCATTTCATTTTGACTTGGTATTATCTTAAAATATTAATTGTATTATAATATACATGTGTGTTTTATATTCTACGATAACATTCCAGCATTGTTGAAATGAAATATTTTTTATCTTATTGAATTGAAATATTTCATTGTTTCCAATTTTTTTTTTTTTGTGGAATGTCCATTCCGTGGTACATTTTTTTAAATTTCAACTTCCCATTCAGAATGAAAACAAATTTAGAGATGTCAGAATTTCCCACGGAAATTCCGTTTTCCAACTATCTCTAGTTACTACCTTCTGTGACAAGCTGCTGTGTACAGAGGGGGTCGCAACCAGTGACACCAGATCTGAGCAGAACCTCAGGTTCTGATGGAGTTCGGAGCTGGATTTCCATTCTAGGACTTGCACTCATTTCTAGTCATGTAGTGCGCTCTTAGAAAGCTGCAGGCGTGGGTGCAAGTCAGTGGTGCATGTTGTGGCTGCTGTATAAGAAATGTGTTTGATCTGTAAAGCGGAGGAGAATCCTAAAGGATTACTGATGTCATGTGAGCGTAAGATATCAGTTATGTTACCATAACGTTTCCTTTTCCCTCTCCCTTCCCAGTCTTCCGGAGGTTCGGATCTCAGACAACGGCCCGTACGAGTGTCATGTGGGCATTTACGACAGAGCTACCCGGGAGAAGGTGGTCCTGGCATCTGGCAACATATTCCTCAACGTGATGTGTAAGTGCAGCGCCTCTTCCCTGGCTGGGGGTGGCAGGGATGGGAGCTATGGGTGGTGGTGGGAAAGAAATCAGTCCTGCTCTGAAATCTCTGCACAAACCGGACCGAAAGCCAGCAGATGGATTGCTCTGCTGTAACCCCTGGCCAGGATGCAGGGATCATTAACCTGCTCCCAGCATGCAGTGTGCATCCCAAGCATGAACATGGCCAAAACAAGGGAAAGAATACAGTGCTTTGTTGGGGACATAACGGAAATGGAGCATTACGCTGCACGAGAAAGTCCGGTGGAGGGTGACTCGCCCCACAGATGTCCATTCCCCGCAAGTTGTACTTCCTGAGAGAAAGCAAAGTCCTATGTTAACGCCATCAGAGCATCTGCTCTGCAGCACCAACACATCCCCAGATGGTTTGAAGCCCCTGTCTCCCAAAAGGTAGCTTGGTGCAATCTAGCTTCATGCCAGTCACTGAGTACAGAGCAAAGGAGACAGGAGCTGGGCTGGAGATGGTTGAAGTGGCCAGGTATGTCCTGCTTGATGGATGTGCTCTCTCTGGATATGTTATTTTAAGGGAGCGTGGAAAAAGTCCCACTCTTTTCAGGGTCAGTCAGAAGGAGACTGATATTTACTGAGCTGCTAGGCAGAGCTCAGCGCACCATGGAGACCTAGGGAGCTGATGAATGGGCATCAGCTAGGGCTGGAGTTTGTGGTTCCCGGGACTTCCTCCACAATGGCAGTAATTGCTGCTCCGAGCAGAGAGGGGACAGCCGGCGCAAGGCAGCTCCTCTCCAGCATGTCATGAGGAAGGGCACCAGGCAGAAGGGGAAAGTTCGCAGAGGGATTTTTCTGGGGGGAATTGCTGCACACCCCACACACCCGCACTTCATCTAACGGCCGGATTTTGCTAAAGCAATCTATTCCATGCCTGCAGCCTTTCCGCCGCGGCAGGAGAAGCTGCTGGGAGCCTGGTAGATCCCAGGAGCTAAGCAGGGTCAGGCGAGGTCACTGACCCTGTTAAATGACAGGCCCTCGGAGGAACAACGAAGGGATGGTGCTGATTTAGAAGGCGGCACTCTTCCCTCTGAGTGAGGGCAGAACTAATGCCCTTGTATGGCGTTAGGGGGCTGCCGCAGAGGAGTTGCCTTTTGACCAGCATGTAAATCCTGACCAGCTGTGAGTATCAGAGCTTCCGTGGCAGCACTTGTGTCTTAGAGTTGATGCTGAGTAATTTCCTGCCGCCAGCCTCACCCCCCTGCCATCTCAGAGGGATGCAGCCTCTTCCCTCCCTGTCTGTAGTGTGTCTGCCAGTCACGTGGCATCATTATTTGTATTGCAGTCGCCCCCAAAGGCCCCAACTAAAATCAGGGCCCCATTGTGCCAGGTGCTGTACAGACACCTAGTGAGAGACAGTCCCTACCCTGGAGAACTTACAATCTAAATACAGGGAAAGGGAGGGGAGGAGAAACTGAGGCAAAGTGACTTGCCTAGGGTGGCTTGCCGAGGCTAAGCCTAATTGCAGTCGCTGGACCAAGAGGGGTCCCACCCGGCAGGTAGGTGAAGCCAGTCCTGCCTTGCCCGGCCCTGTGGGGAGAAGGGTGTACAGTAGAACCTCAGAGTTACAAACGGACTGGTCAACCACACACCTCATTTGGACCGGGACGTACGCAATCAGGCAGCAGCAGAGACCAAAAAAAAAAAGCAATCCAGTACAGTGGTGCGTTAAACGTAAACCACTAAACAAAAATAACGGGGAAATTAAAAAAAAAAAAGATTTGACAAGGTAAGGAAATGGTTTCTGTGCTTGTTTCATTTGAATTAAGATGGTTAAAAGCTGCCTTTTTCTTCTGCCTAGTAAAGTTTTAAAGCTGTATTAAGTCAGTGTTCAGTTGTAAACTTTTGAAAGAACCACCGTGACGTTTTGTTCAGCGTTCCAAACACCCTCCATTCCCGAGGTGTTCCTAACGCTGAGGTTCTACTGTAGTTCCTACTGATGGGTGGTGATCTGGGAACATGTGCTTGGGATGCTGACCACAGTTCTCTGGTCGTTATCACATCCTGCATGTCTGGGCTACAGCAGGCACAGGGGGAGGGATAGCTCAGTGGTTTGAGCATTGGCCTGCTAAACCCAGCGTTGTGAGTTCAGTGCTTGAGGGGGCCACTTAGGGATCTGGGGGCAAAATCAGTACTTGGTCCTGCTAGTGAAGGCAGGGTGCTGGACTTGATGACCATTCGGGATCCCTTCCAGTTCTACGAGATAGGTATATCTCCATTTATTATTATAAAAGATCAGTCCACTTGTCTCCTGCCTGAAAGATGCTAGCTAATTGAGCTGGGGCCAAAGAGAAAACAGGTTCCCTCCCGGATCCCGGACTGAATTTCTGTGCCTGCCTGGAATGGGTGTGGGCTATGGACATGCAGAAGTCTCTTTGCTTGGCAACATTTTGGGATGGTCCCGTTTATAGATATCAGTAGGCACAGCTTTACCCATAGTGCTTTGTGGTCTGTAGTGACCTGCATATGTGTTGCCTGAAGCTTCTTGTATCCTAACTAAGCTCCAGGGCAATTGAAGTACCTGTACATGTCTCAGATAAAACAGTAATGACCAGTGGGGAAAGACATTTCTTGGCCATTAGTGAGCAACTGCCGGAATTTGACCAGAGATCGTTATGATGTAATGCTAGAAAAAATAATTCCCTGATGTGTTAAGAAATTATTAGTCCAACAGCTTGTTGCTATGGCGACGAGCGTCTGTTCCACGCGCAGCAGTGGCTGTTCTTAGCTGTTACAGACTGGCACGGTAGGGATCAGCAGAGATCGCCCCCAGACGCGCCATGTTCAGAACCAGATCGGCAGGCCCGGGGGGGGGGGGGGTTGGCTTTTTGCCTCACCCTGGTAGAGAGGGAGACGCGCCTTAGAAAGCTGGGATCTGAGTCTGAACTTTCGCAAAGCTGCGAGCTGCTGGGGTCTATCCGGGATAGAGGTCGTGGCCGCTTGCAAAGCTGGGATCTGGGCGTTGTGGTGCGGCCCAGCTGGGAGTCCACAGGGGACAAGGAGCTGCCTGCACAGTCTCTGTTGGATTCAGGGCCTGGCTTGCTTGGCTGGGCAGGTGCATGTTCGCTCTTCCAAGGGTTAAGGACACAGTAAACAGTATTGCAGAAGCAATGGGGAAGGCAGATTATCGTGGGGTGGGGTGGGGACCCCTCACATAACATCCTCTAGTGTCCAGAGCAGGGACTCGCCCAGCAGTGCTATCCCTGGCTCTGCCACTGACTGCTTTGCATGCCCCAAGGTGAGTCACTTAACCTCCCTGTGGCTCGTGTGATTCTGGCATGAAAAGGGCTATAGAAATGCAAAGCCATCGAGCTTGGGGCAGGGGCTTATTTTGCCCCGTTCCACCCGACTGCTCCAAATGTGCACTTCCCCCTCCTCTATTGAGCTGGGCCAGGTACCACCTTTCCTGTCCTGACTGGGGTTCCTTCTCTTGGCTGTCAGCCCTCAGAAGGGTCCGAGATGCCTCCGCAGAGGGCTTTGGGGAAGGCAGGCAGTGACCCTGAGAGGAAGGGAAACAGCACTGAGACGGGTTAGCTGTAGCGGAGCGTAACAAAACCGCTCGTCACCACAGGCTCTTTGCTTTTCAAAGGGCCTAATGCTCGGCTGGTATCGACTGGCTTCCCCTTGACCGCATCCTTCCTGCTAGGACAGTTTGTTCAGATAAAGAGCCCATTTAAACAATGAAAGCTCGGGCTGTCCTTCATACCAGCAACAATGCAGCCCGAGAGCCAGAGTCACTGGAGGTATTTTCGCCTTCCTCTGAAGCACCAAGTGTTGGAGGCAGGACGCGGGGGCCTAGGTGGGCCGGTGTTCTGATGCAGTATGACAACTCCAGTGCACCCAAGAGCCAAATTCAGCCTGAGCACAAGAGGGCACCTCCGTGCGAGTTGCGTCAACGTATGCAAAGGCTGGAATCTGCTCCTGTAGCATTGAGGATCATGCCCGTGAATGCGGGACTCCTCGCTGCTGCGTCATCCTAAACCCAGGCTCTAGTACCTGGCATAACGATGCAGTGATGTCTGCTGATTCATGCTCACAGGTGCCACTAATCTATAACAGGGATTGGGCGTGCCACTGGGGGGTATCGGGAACAGCCACGCTGGGGGGAGAAGTTGTCGGAAGTTTGCTATGTTGTGTCCGTGACTTGGCTATATATACGCCGCGAGTTACTCAGTTCAGGTTAGGGTAGGGTTGGCAGCTTTCGGCGTGTCCTGGGAGTGCTGAGTGAATAGCCAAATGCAGAATTGCTCTTGCATCTGAATCAGAAACGCTCCTCAAAAACTCAAGGCCACTTCAAAGGCATCAGTGTTGGGAATGAATAATAACGCCGAGTTCTTTTCAGCAGTAGCTCTCGAAGCAGCTCGGTATCGTTGTCCCCAGATCTGGGGATTAAGGCACAGAGAGGGGAAGTGAATTGCATGAGGTCACACACCAGTAAAGCTGAGATTGATACCCACATCTTCCAGCGCGCCATCTGGTGCCTTGGCCACTAGGCCACATTGCCTCCAGCATCTTAGCACTCAGCCCTCATCTCTAACTCAGATCTCAAGAGGGACAATTTTGGAGGTTGGCGTCTTGCCCATTGTGGAAGTTTGTCTAATGGACAAAACCGACCATGCATTTCGTCCCCCGGCTGGCAGGGGGCGCTGCTTGTCAGTTCCAAGGGGCACAGAGACATGTTGGGGGACCCCTGGATTGGCACAGCAGGGGGTGCTGCCAGTCAGGATTGAGGTCTGGCTCCCAGGCGTGAAGGTGCTCCAGGTCAGGAGTGGAGCTGGGTGGCCAGCGGTATTTCTCTCGTGTAGGAATTGTCAATATTTCGACTTTTGTTTCTGTCCCCAGTTGGGACAACGCATCACAACAGTGAAATCTGGAGCAGGAGGAGTGAAAAGTTTTGCAAATGTTGATTCAGAACCATCGGCATGAAACATGTCCAAACGTTGCTTTGGCAAA